TCACAGATAGGATTAGGATCTGGATTGGGAAATTTCAATTATATTTCTTTATTACTTTATTCCATATAACGAAAGACAAACTTCACAATTATTCTTTACTCGTTTTCACTTGACCTCTTTACTCTTGCTTCCTCATATCTTTGGTTTGGGTTGCAGTCTTTTGTTTACAGAAAAGGTGTTGCATCATACGTGGAGTGACGCGTCAGTGCTTTCCGCTGCTACTGAAACTCAGAGGGTTTCCTGAAAGCTTGACTGTCTGTGTTTCATTAGGGTTGAATGCGCTCTAACACAGTCTGCATTCTGGCAGCTTGACTCACGGCACACACCTAACGCGGGTCAGAAGAAAACAAGCAAACAATGAGCGGCTGTCCTGTTTGGAAAAGTGGAAAGAATGCATGTTTATTTCCCAAGTTCCTAATAATCTGTTGAGATGAGGCTTTTTTTAAAGACAAATGAACCAATCTGTAGCACCTAACCCTTCAGCCAGGACTTGGTATTTCACTCAGTGGTTTTATTCTGCAGGAACAACCAGAACCTCTGCTCTTCATGCAATCCAAACATACTTTCACAACGTCACATTTTGGAGGGTTTTTGTGGCTCGCTTCCAACAATTTGTAATCCTTCTGGAAAATACTTCCTTTCGTCCATTTTGTGTCACTTTAACAAGACTCAGCTTCTTTGAAGACAGATGAACCAATCTGTAGCACCTAAATCCTTCAGCCAGGACTTTTCATGCAATCAAAACATACTTTTATAGTGTTACGACCCTGGTCGTTATGTGTATTGTGTGTAGAGATTTCTTCCCTCCTCCTGTGTGTGTGTGTGTGCGTGTGTGTGTGTGTGTGTGTGTGCGAGCAAGCAAGCAGGTGGTGCCCGTTAGCTGATTAGCTACCTTCAACAGGCTGATCGGTCCACCTGAAGAAGAGGGGAGCATTTAAGCTGCAGCCATGCAGTCACTCTGACTCAGCTTCTCCTGCTCCCAACCGTTGCATATTTGTATCTGTCCTTTTGTACTTCTGTCCTTGAATATTTTGTAAAGCTTGAAAGGATAGACATAACTTTAACCTGTCCTTGTTCGACATGCCGTAAGTCTACGTGAAAGTGTGAAACCCTTTTCCTTTTGGTTGGTTCTCGTTTTCTTCTCAGTGTAGGAAAGAGTCCTGTTTGTTTATTTTCTTATTTGTTTGGCAAGATTTTTGTGTTCAGAGATTTGTTTGTTTGTGGGTTGTTGCACTTATTTGTTATAAAGAAAACGTTGGTAATTAAATGTACCAAACGGCATTCACTGTCTCACTGTCTATGTTCTTGGGAGTGGGAAAAGAGGAGAGAGTGCACACTTTGTGTTGCGCCTAGGTTTCCCTAGGCCTGGGCGTAACAATAGTCACATTTTGGAGTTTTTTTTTGTGGCAGGCTTCCAGCAATTATGAATCTACTTGGAAATACTTCCTTTCGTCCATTTTGTGTCACTTCAACAAGACCCAGACGTAAAAAATACATTTTTTAACTACTTTTAGGATGGATGTAGTTCGTCGTATTTTTGGCTCATTTGGTCGCGTTCGATCTGAAAGCTTCTCCAGCGACGCCTCTCAGACGCAGAGCAGCAAAAAACTGGTTCCGTGCCATCGGATCAATAAGCTGATCACATGTCTGGATGATTTGGACCCAGAAAGCGAGCTGTGTGAGAAAATGGAGAGTCTGTTTAACGCCTCGCTCATCTGTGGAAGAGAGAGGAAGGAAAACTGTTTCAGGCGGTGAACAAAAAGGCCTGTAGTGGAAAGAGAATGTGCCTTTTCATACAGAAATAATGTTCCTCTACCTCCTGTAATTCATCTGTTCACAGCCAACAAAACACTCTCTTCATTCTTGGTTATTTGACCTTTTACTTTCCGAGCTGCTCAGGAAATTAAACCGTTGGCATGATGCTTGTTTACCTTCAGATATGACTGATGTTATTATGTGTTGCTGGCAGACGCACAGTGCGTACTGTCAGATCCTCTACACTCAGATCATGTGCTTATCTTTGGTTTCCACTGAATTAAGTTCTAAGAGAAGGACAGTTCTGCTTTTATTTAGTGAAGTGGTGCATCTGGTGGTTTTTCTGGCAAAATGTAAATGTGTATATTTATAAAGTTGTGCAGGAATGAGTCCTAAAACCTAGAAGTGAGTCATAATTTCAGCACTTCCTGTTTGTGAAGTCATGTGACCGTGCTGTAGTTCCTTTGTAGCCCAACATTAGCCACCTTTAGCTTAGCGGTGGTGACGTGAAGTCATGTGCCCGTGCTGTAGTTCCTTTATAGCCCAACATTAGCCACCTTTAGCTTAGCGGTGGTGACGTGAAGTCATGTGACCGAGCTGTAGTTCCTTTATAGCCCAACATTAGCCACCTTTAGCTTAGCGGTGGTGACGTGAAGTCATGTGACCGTGCTGTAGTTCCTTTATAGCCCAACATTAGCCACCTTTAGCTTAGCGGCGGTGACGTGAAGTCATGTGACCGTGCTGTACTGTAGTTCCTTTATAGCCCAACATTAGCTACCTTTAGCTTAGCGGTGGTGAAGTCATGTGACCGTGCTGTAGTTCCTTTATAGCCCAACATTAGCCTCCTTTAGCTTAGCGGTGGTGACCTAAAGTCATGTGATCGTGTTGTAGTTCTAGTTCCTTTATAGCCCAACATTAGCCTCCTTTAGCTTAGCGGTGGCGACGTGAAGTCATGTGACCGGGCTGTAGTTCCTTTATAGCCCAACATTAGCCTCCTTTAGCTTAGCGGTGGTGATGTGAAGTCATGTGACCGTGCTGTAGTTCCTTTATAGCCCAACATTAGCCACCTTTAGCTTAGCGTTGGTGATGTGAAGTCATGTGACCGTGCTGTAGTTTCTTTATAGCCCAACATTAGCCTCCTTTAGCTTAGCGGTGGTGACGTGAAGTCATGTGACCGTGCTGTAGTTCCTTTATTGCCCAACATTAGCCGCCTTTAGCTTAGCGGTGGTGACGTGAAGTCATGTGACCGTGCTGTAGTTCCTTTATAGCCCAACATTAGCCACCTTTAGCTTAGCATTGGTGACGTGAAGTCATGTGACCGTGCTGTAGTTCCTTTATAGCTCAACATTAGCCTCCTTTAGCTTAGCGGTGGTGACGTGAAGTCATGTGACTGTGCTGTAGTTCCTTTATAGCCCAACATTAGCCTCCTTTAGCTTAGCGGTGGCGACGTGAAGTCATGTGACCGGGCTGTAGTTCCTTTATAGCCCAACATGAGCCGCCTTTAGCTTAGCGGTGGTGACCTAAAGTCATTTGACCGTGCTGTAGTTCCTTTATAGCCCAACATTAGCCGCCTTTAGCTTAGCGGTGGTGATGTGAAGTCATGTGACCGTGCTGTAGTTCCTTTATAGCCCAACATTAGCCACCTTTAGCTTAGCGGTGGTGACGTGAAGTCATGTGACCGTGCTGTAGTTCCTTTATAGCCCAACATTAGCTTTTTACTTCAAAAATCACAAAGAGGTGTTTAACTGTTGAGATTATCCCGCTGAACAAATTGTGCAAGTATCGTTCATAAGATAAGATAAGATAGGACTTTATTTATCGCAAAGGAAATTGTTGTGCCAGAGTTACAAAAATACAATAAACACAGCAGCATAAATCGTGTTTAAGCTTATTTTCTGCTATAATCTAAATCCCATTTTCTTTTTGTTGAAAAAACCAGATCGGCTTATCATCCCTGCTCCACTCAATGAACTTGTCTATCCACTTCCTGACCTCCCTGGTATTGATGGATTTTGAATATCATTGGATGCTAGAGCTGCACTCATGACTCGTATTTCCTGTTTCATACTGCAGGCTCCACATGGTGACGTGGAACGTGGCCACAGTGGATCCCCCGGATGATTTAACCTCTCTCCTCCATCTGAACGACACAGAAGGCCCGGACCTCTACGTTATTGGGTAGGTGGTGCAAGGAGAGGGACATTAATATTGTGTCAGTATTTAACCCTGTAACTTCCTCTCTGTAGGATAATTAAAGGATTTAATTGTTCTAAATATTAGTGTAGCTTAATCTCTATATGCACTCGATAAATAGTCATACAAAAACAACAACAAAAGGATTTCAATGTACATTTATTGTTTTATAAACGAAGCTTCAAACTATTCTTACAGCCCGGATATTTTGAGTTTATACACTGGAAAAGGGTCAAGGTGACTAACGTGTGTGTGTGTGTGTGTGTGTGTGTGTGTGTGTGTGTGTGTGTGTGTGTGTGTGTGTGTGTGTGTTAGTCTGCAGGAGGTGTTCTCAGGGCCGTTGAGGTTTGTGTCGGACACGATATTCGACGACCCCTGGAGTCAAGTGTTCATGTCCACTTTGGCTCCACTAAATTACGTTAAGGTACAACATCTTCTCAAAACACACATACGTGCACACACACACACACACACACACACACACACACACACACACACACACACACACACACACACACACACACAGCCATTTTCACAGGTAATGTGTAGTTCAGTAGTTGTTAATTTCCCCATTTGATCTTAAACAGCAACCTCAATTGGAATTGACCTAACTTTTTTTATTTGGATTATAATTTGGGGCAATTGTAATAGTTTTTTGTAATATCACTGTTCATGTTTTATTGTATTAATATTTCTGTTTGTTTACACCTTGTTTTTAATGATGTTCCTCATTTGTTATTGTCATACTCTGTAAAAGCACTTTGGGCTGCGTCAAGCATGAAAGGCGCTATATAAATAAAGTGTGTGTGTCAGGTTTCCTCTGTCAGGTTACAGGGGCTTCTTCTGCTTTTCTTCTGCAAACTGGAGCATCTCCCCTTCATCAGAGACATCCAGGCCACTTACACCCGCACAGGCATCTATGGCTACTGGGTGAGACACACACACACACACACACACACACACACACACACACACACACACACACACACACACACACACACACACACACACACACACACACACACACACACACACACACACACACACACAGTTATGGAAATCTGAGACCCAACACTGTGGAGAGTACAAGTCAGAGTGATCAAAACAAATAAATGGTGAATCAGACAGTTGTCCTTCTGGTTATTTATTTGAAGCTTCAAATACATAAGATACAATAAATATAGACACAGGTCTCACAGAGTATAGAATAGTCTGCGCGAGTGTGCGCAGATATAATAGGAAAGCAAAGCTTATATACAGCAAAGGGAGGGAAGCTCAGAAATCTGTCTTCACACGGTATTAGACACCTTGAGCTGTAGATAGTATAACGGTTCTCGTGTGACTTTGTGTGAGTCTCAACCTAATAATAATAATTCCTTACATTTATTATAGCGCTTTATCAATGACTCAAAGCGCTTTACATATATATGATACATGCAATGGTCAGATACTGTGGGCAATACCCACAGGAGCAAGTTCAGGTGAAGTGTCTTGCCCAAGGACACACCGGCTTTACAGACGCAGCAGCGGCGGGTTTCACCCCTTGATCTGATGATCATTGCACAGCGCACTGCGCCACACCGTCCATCTTCACGCCTCGAAGACATCGAGGCGCTTTTACAGGTACACATTGGTATTATACATGTACTGTGGACAATACCCACAGGAGCAAATCCGGGTGAAGTGTCTTGCCCAAGGACACAACGGCCTGACGCAGTGGCGGCAGGAGCGGCTTTCGAACTGGAGTTCCCCAGCACTCCCCCTTGATCTGATGATCGGATGCACAGACCACTGCGCCACCCGTCCCTGCAACCTAGTAGCCAAATCAGCTCTGTGGCCTTGAAGTGTGGCCTTGAAGTGCTTGGGAATAAACCCACAGTGAGAAGAAGAAAACAGCACATCTCAGGAAATTATATAGGTGTTTTACAATGTGTTGAGAAGCATTTGGTTTAAGCATATAAGGATATAATAAAAATGTCCACTACATTCTCCCCTTTTGATCATACTTGATCAATAAAAAAAATAAAAATAATGACAGGATAGACTGATATAACACATCAATGCATACACTCCATCGCTGGTTTAAGTAAACACATCACAAATATATCATAGAAAACTGGCTGTTTTTGTGGAGGACAGACTCCAATATAATGTAAGCATAAGAGGAGGGTACTCGATTCACATGGATTATTTTGCAGTGTCGAAACCAGACTTCTGATTCTAGCTGGTCTATCTCACTGTGGCGCAAAGGATTGTCGTGTAATGGAATAGCAGTATACTGAACGAAAGCTGAGGATACCATGCTGGAAATGCACTTCTTCAGTATTGGGATAATCAAACAAGTACAACTGATTAATAGGCCGAAAATGATCGGTGGGAGGTGGATGTGCTCCGGGTCCTGTAACCTTTACTGGTCTACCATAATTTGCATAATGCAAATTAGGCATGCTTCACAGTGCTTCTGAGCTGTTACTGTAACCCCCCTTGTGAACCACTCCTGATTGATAGACTCTAACATCCCCCCTTTTGACACATGATCCAACCCATGTGTCAACTTAGCAAAATGAGGGAAGAAATGTCTTGGGAGACATGGATTGGAATTTGGACTAACCCAGATGCTGGAGGTTGGGTCAAAAACAGCCCCAGCAGCCTTCCACTGAGCTTTCTCAACTGGTTTAGCGAGCTGCTGCATGGAAGTCAGTGACGACATTTTGTCAGTGAAGGAGGAGACAGGGATTTTAACAAATGATTGTGCGTGAGGTGTGAGAGGAATCAGAGCAGCTGATGCTCTGATGCTCAGCTGCCTGAGTCAGCAGATAAATTAGCGGACCCAATTTCTTAGGGAAACTGGGTCTGTACTGCTTGCGTGTGTGGCACATTTACAGACTGCAACCTCAGATGGGAGCAGAATGGTGTCTAGTAAGCCTGCAACCAGTACATGGTTAAGTACTGGTTTGCCATCAGATTTCAGAAATTGTCTACACTTCCAAATAGCTTCAAAATCGTGTACTACCCCAAAAGCATAGCGTGAGTCAGTGTAAATAGTCACGGTTTTGCCTTCTGCAAACGTGCAGGCTTCAGTTAGTGCAATCAGCTCTGCTGCTTGTGCTGAGAGGTGACATGGGATTGGTCCGGAACGAGTACAGCAGAATCTGGAACAACAGAAAAACCCACCCGATTAGTGCCCCCCTGGTCGCGAAAGGCAGACCCATCAACATACAAAATGAGGTCAGCGTTGGTCAGAGGAACGTCTTTTAAGTCCGGTCTAGGTGTGCACACCATGAGAAGTTCGTCACTGTCTTCAGGCAAAGGCATAAGAGGGTTCTTACACCTTTTCCAAAGTCAAATTCAAGCACTTTTCAAGCATTTTCAAGGTGCACTTTTCAACCTTTTCAAGCATCTTACAGCTGTTGTAAATTACATATTTATATGCACATACTCAAATGATTATTTCCCGACCTCACATTAACTCAGATGTTCTTTATGCTATAAACAACCAAATGTGTGTTTCGTGATAGCCTTCTACACGAGGATGAAAAATTAAAGAAAAGAAAACTAAGTTTAATATTTCAAAATGAGTGATCTGTACGTCTTAAAACGAATTCAGGCGACCTTTCACCTCCACTTAATTAAATGCATGGTTGCAAGATAAAAATGTGAGTTAATTGATTTTAGATAAACATTTTAAGTTGCAAACATTAATTTATAAGTTGTGTTGACGTAATAATGTTGGTAATTACATCAACTTAATATTGTGTCATTTGAACTCTGATTTCTGCGTTAATTGACTTCAACCCTAAATTCAAGTTGAGGTATTGTAATGCAATTGGCTTGATAACTTAATTGTTCTACCCCTTGAGTTAAGGATTTCAAGTCCACTCCCACTTAAGATGCCTGGACAAGTTCCCACAGTTAAGACAAATAGAAATATACAAAGGACATTTTAAGGTGAGTGTCATCTTTTGTCATTCAAATACAACTTGAAATTCAAACTCTCCTGATTGAAACATCATGTGTTGAAATAACCAACTGCAGTTCAAAAATAAAAAGTGAATTGCCTAATATTTTTGTTGTGGAATCAATTAATTTCTTTCTTTAAAGGCAAAACATGGAAAAGCTAAGAGAAAAACCCTATTGAATACAATATTATTTGGAGAGGAGAACACGGAGTCAACTTAATTTACAAATGGCTGTCAACTTAAAAACATCTGTCCATGTTCAATACTGGTAATTAAGTATATACAACTCAAGATTACATTTAAATCATACGGTAAAACAAGTTGGAACTTTTGGAGTAATCAACTTAAAAACTTGTGTTTATGCTACCAATTATTAAGTAAGTGGTAATTGAAAACACCTCTGATTGTAGAGGAAAAGCCTTCTCCCCTTTCTCAAATAATTTTGTTGCTTTAACAACATTTCATTAGAAGTTCTCTTAACTCAATAACCATCGATGCAACCTATTGCCTTGATTTTCTTTGTTAAGCCAAGGCATTTGCCTTTAGAGTGTACGTAGACTGGGCCTCCCATATAACCTGGCTGAGCCGATATAAAAACAATCAGCCAAATAACTTTTCAATACATTATTGATTACTATTTTTGAGGTACTTTTAGGTTGGCAGTGAACATAAGTCAGAGGTACATGGTGTACTTTTCCTTCACTACATGTATTTAATACCTTTAGTTACTTCACAGATCTGGATGAATGATGTGAAATATAATCAAGTGTTAAATCAGACTTTAGTTCCACCTGGAGTAAATCCACAAGCTACCCTGCAGTATACAAAGTCATTCAAACTAGCTGCACCTTTACCAGCTTTGAGAACACTTTCATGATCAATCATTATAAAACATATCATATATATTATTCTGAAATGGACCAATCTGCACAATGAATACTTTTACTGTCTTTCACTATATTTTGATGAGAATACTTTTCTACTTTCACTTGAGGAACATTTTGAATGCAGGACTTTTACTGTAACACTCTGGTACTTCTACTTTTACTCAAGTACAAGATCTGAGTACTTATACTTTTACTCAAGTACAATATCTGAGTACTTATTCCACCTCTGGTAGTGTATTAGTCTGAATTGTAGCTACAAAATCACGCAGAGCTGCATAAAAATAGCCTCACAATGGTAACAAGTGGAAAATAATATTTACAAATGTGTACAATGATTTGTAGGTAATTTTGACTACTCAAGACACCTGACTTATACAAAGGAAGACTGTGTTCATTCTACAATTACATGGGATTAAAGCAACATGTAGTTTTACTTGTATAATACTTCCATTTTGTATAAAAGACAGTTTGTTTTCATCTGTTTTCGAATAAACAAAGTATTGGCTTTCAGAATATTAAACTTGTAACGGCATAATTACAAGCAGAGAACGGACTAATGTAACATCACAGCAAGCATAACAACAGCCGTGTGTTATGAACACATACGCAAGAATGACATCATCTGTCGCTTAGTGACAGGTTTTGGCAGAGCAGCCAATGATGCAATACGCTTATCTAAAAGCGTTTTCCCCTCTCCTGAAATGACATGACTCAAAAATGTAACTGTTCTTTGTACATATTGGAGTTTTGACAAACTGGCCTTCTGGCCTTCGGCTGCGAGGTATGTTAACAAGGAAATTGTATCAGCTCCACACTGTTCTGCTGTGGGTGCGCAAATCATGAGGTCATCAAACTACTGGATGAGAGCAGTGTCTTTAGAAACTTGGAGAGAGGCCAACCTTGTACACATTGCCTGGTTGTAGGAGAATGTGTAAGGTTTACCATTATATTCAAATGTGAACAAAATTGACTGTCTTTGTGTACAGGAACACTGAAAAATGCATTTGAGAGATCTTATGACAGTAAAAAATGTTGCAGAGGCTGGAACTTGGGAAATAATCAGATAAGGAGTTGGGACGAGCGTGCATGCACAGCTGCATTTACAGCTCGTAAATCCTGGACAAATCTCCACTCGTCAGGAGGTTTTGTCTCTGATCTTTTTGACAGGAAACACTGGAGTGCGTACCGGAATCGTTACACGGAATAATGACCCCTTGTTTAAGCGGAGAGGTAAACACTGGCCGAATGCCATCAACAGCTTCACGTTTCAATGGATACGGGGGTTGATTTGGACGGAACGTGGACATTAAACCTACGTCATATCTGTGAGCTGCCCAGAGTGAGTATGGCACATCTGAAAGCGCGGCAGGAAGCTCAGAGATATGAGAATTACCTCATCATCCTCAACCAACAGCAATGTGCGCAGAACGGCTATGTTCGTGCACATTTTCATCTTATCCACGTCACGTGACATAGAGTATATGACATATTCTGTGTGTGTAGGTGCCCAATCAGTGACTGACTCCCAATCTTTAACGATTGGACCCAAATCCCTCTATCTATCAGTGGGGCCCCTGGCTAGTGAAATGTGTGGACCGCCCCTGGGATTTGACACAGTTTGTGTTGTGCGAGTGTAACAGGAACCAGCGCTGCGCAGCAAACTCCAATACATAGGTTTAAGCATGAGCTCATCATTCACACATTTTAACAGAAAAACTCTCATCATAGCATTTACACTGATCATCAACAACAACGAACATTTCCGTCCAGATATTTAATTTAGACAGACTGTTTTCACCATTTCTACTCGCATGACATCCACAATCGGACCCTCAGGAGGGTGTACAAACCTGCTTTGCTCCCAAAACAAAGTCTTTAAGTGTTACCAAAACACCCCGTGTTACCAAAACACTATTTTTTCATTCGTCGATGATGTGATATTTGTTTCACAGTACAAATCACACAAAGACTGATCGTAAACCCAGGCTACGATGGATATCCCAAATATCCTACTTTCGAGCAGTCCCTCTCATAAATGTCATGGAGTTTAATTACGTTTAACTTTAAACAATTTAGACACTGTACATCTCACCGAGTATTGAAAGCCTTTTGAGTTTGTTGGATCTCGTGAAGTCAATCGGTTCCACCCCCGGCGCTGGTCCTCTCGTCCCGTACGGTTTCTGTCGAGGTAGAGGAGGATCCGAGGATCCTGGAGCTAGCGACCACCAGCGTCCGTAGGTGTCCCCAATCGAACTTGCAGAGATCCTGCCGACAACGCCAATTGTTATGGAAATCTGAGACCCAACACTGTGGAGAGTACAAGTCAGAGTGATCAAAACAAATAAATGGTGAATCAGACAGAGTTGTCCTTCTGGTTATTTATTTGAAGCTTCAAATACATAAGATACAATAAATATAGACACAGGTCTCACAGAGTATAGAATAGTCTGCGCGAGTGTGCGCAGATATAATAGGAAAGAAAAGCTTATATACAGCAAAGGGAGGGAAGCTCAGAAATCTGTCTTCACACGGTATTAGACACCTGGCCTTGAGCTGTAGATAGTATAACGGTTCTCGTGTGACTTTGTGTGAGTCTCAACCTAGTAGCCAAATCAGCTCTGTGGCCTTGAAGTGTGGCCTTGAAGTGCTTGGGAATAAACCCACAGTGGAGTATAAGAAGAAAACAGCACATCTCAGGAAATGATATAGGTGTTTTACAATGTGTTGAGAAGCATTTGGTTTAAGCATATAAGGATATAATAAAAATGTCCACACACACACACACATACACACACACACACACACACACACACACACACACACACACACACACACCACACACACACACACACACACACACCACACACACACACACACACACACCAGCGTAAGATAACAAGTACTTTATTGATTCCAATTTGGGACATTTTTGCATTGCAGCAGCATAAAAAGACAAGGCATTGTACATTAGAGAAAGTAAAAGACTAGAAATAAACAATTAAAAATGTAAAAATCTCCAATAGAAATAAAATAGCATTAAAACAATTGAAAATAATATACATGTTGAAATACAAATAAACATGTCATTAGAAAAGTCAAAGATTGTCTGAAAATAAGGCTTTAAATTCGTCACAAATACAATCTTATTGGCCTTTGAACCGGAAAAAGACAACACTTTCCTAATATCGATATATTATCTATATATTGACGATCCTCTTTCCTGTGTAATCGGTATCCTGTAGCCCATACTCCTAAACACATACAGGGGGTCCGCGGGGTCTTAAAAAGTATTAAAAGTTGATAAATCAATGAAGGCTATTAAAAAATATTAAAGGGCATTTTCCAAGGTGTTACATTTGGTAGCTTGTTTTCAATAAGTATATAAATGGTCCAAAGAGGTTGTATTCTACAGTCTGCCTGAATGTAATCATTGCGTAGGTGTGTAGTGTGATTCTGTGTAGTTTATTTATGGCATCCCGTTGGGTTTGACGTCATCTGAACAGGACATCGCGCGCTCACTGCTTGATAGCGCGCGACGGTCCGTTTACGCCGGTTGCTAAGCAACATCGTTATGGGGAAATGCAAGTCTGCGTCCAAATGGTTGGAAGATAAGGAGGAAGGACAATCAATACTGTATATAGTGAATGTGAGGTAAAGTGTGTCACCAAGGTAACCGGTTAAAACTCGAAGTGGCGATGAGGTCTTAAAATGTATGGAAAGGGTCTTAAAAAAGGTCTTACATTCGACTTCAGGGTTCCTGCATATACCCTGACATATAAACACCACAATGATGTGTAAAATCTGATGTTCCTCTTTCAATTCGGACATTAAAATGTGTTAAAAAAGACTGTATTAACCGAACCACAGAAGCAGAAGTAAAGAATGATTTGACTTTCTTTTTGTTCCTTCTCAAAATGTCATCAAGTTATTTTGAAAACTTGATGAATTTGTATTTTTTCTTTCTATCTGAGTTGTAATTGTTGGTTTCTCACACAGCTGAGATTGTGAATGAACGTCAGAGTAGTTCCTCTGTTTCCAAACATCTTTCTGTTTCATGAAACGACCGCTTTTGTGACAGAAAAACATTTGTACAGAAAAACAACTGAAATGAAATTTGTTTCTCTCTCTCAGGGAAACAAAGGTGGAGTTTCTGTCCGTCTTTCTTTCTGATTTGACTTTCTGTGTGTTCCTTCTCAACAAAGTCAATAATATCTCATGAGTTATTTTGAAAACTTGATGAATTTGTGTTATTTGTTTCTGTCTGAGTTGTAATTGTTGGTAGTTTCTCACCTCTTTCTGTCTCTCTCTCTCTCAGGGTAATAAAGGTGGAGTTTCTGTCCGTCTTTCTTTCTACGGTCACATGCTCTGCTTCCCTAAACTGCCACCTGGCCGCTCACATGAACTACGCCTCAGAGAGGGTGGATGAGTTCGAGTACATCATGGACAAACTGGTCTTCGACTGTGAAAAATCTCCAAAAATTGCGGACCACAAGTGAGTAGATAATAGAAACTCTGGTTTACTAAAAAAAAAATGATATCAGAAAAACTCCATTTATCCCCGCAGGTGGAATTTGTAACAGATGTTGCATTTGAGAATTAAAAAAAAGGAACATTTATATTAGGATATAAATCTAGATAAATTCCGTAAAAATAAATTAATGACCTAAATTGAATTAATAGTTATATAATCATAACAAGTACAAGTAAAAAATTGCAAAGCCAGTATAAAATAATATATAATAAAAATATTAACATTAACATAAGGAGTACAAGTACAATTGTGCACATTTTACTACAATATACAACATTTAATTTACAGTAAATGTGTTTTTTCTATTATATCTACAGTTGTGTATTGATAAAAATACTAATTTGTAATCTGTAAATCCTGAAAAGTGTCATAAACATTAGAATAACACCTAATTTGTAAGGTCATAATCGACAAAATGTATCAAACATATTAAAGACACTTGAGTATGAGGATTAAAACGTGCAAAATAAATTACAATTTAGCTTTTTCAATGTTTAAAATGATGTGTTAATTTGTTCACTTTTTTGATTATTTTTACAATTCCTTCTTCTCCTTTCCCCTCGGCTCAGGCTGGTGTTCTGGTTTGGAGATCTGAACTTCAGGATTCAGGATCACGGCATGCACTTTGTCCGCTCCTGCATCGAACAGCAGAACTACAGCCTGCTGTGGAGCAAAGACCAGGTTTGAGACTTAAAGAGGCCATATCAGGTTCATATCAGTTTGTAGTGTCTCTACTTTAAAGAGTCCTCTCCTGCTGATGTTCAGGTGTATATCAGTATGTAGTGTCTCTACTTTAAAGAGTCCTCTCCTGCTGATGTTCAGGTGTATATCAGTTTGTAGTGTCTCTACTTTAAAGAGTCCTCTCCTGCTGATGTTCAGGTTCATATCAGTTTGTAGTGTCTCTACTTTAAAGAGTCCTCTCCTGCTGATCTCCAGGTGTATATCAGTATGTAGTGTCTCTACTTTAAAGAGTCCTCTCCTGCTGATGTTCAGGTGTATATCAGTATGTAGTGTCTCTACTTTAAAGAGTCCTCTCCTGCTGATGTTCAGGTGTATATCAGTAATGTTAGTGTCTCTACTTTAAAGAGTCCTCTCCTGCTGATGTTCAGGTGTATATCAGTATGTAGTGTCTCTACTTTAAAGAGTCCTCTCCTGCTGATGTTCAGGTGTATATCAGTATGTAGTGGTCTCTACTTTAAAGAGTCCTCTCCTGCTGATGTTCAGGTGTATATCAGTATGTAGTGTCTCTACTTTAAAAGAGTCCTCTCCTGCTGATGTTCAGGTGTATATCAGTATGTAGTGTCTCTACTTTAAAGAGTCCTCTCCTGCTGATGTTCAGGTGTATATCAGTATGTAGTGTCTCTACTTTAAAGAGTCCTCTCCTGCTGATGTTCAGGTGTATATCAGTATGTAGTGTCTCTACTTTAAAGAGTCCTCTCCTGCTGATGTTCAGGTGTATATCAGTATGTAGTGTCTCTACTTTAAAGAGTCCTCTCCTGCTGATGTTCAGGTGTATATCAGTATGTAGTGTCTCTACTTTAAAGAGTTCTCTCCTACTGATGTTCAGGTGTATCAGTATGTAGTGTCTCTACTTTAAAGAGTCCTCTCCTGCTGATGTTCAGGTGTATATCAGTATGTAGTGTCTCTACTTTAAAGAGTCCTCTCCTGCTGATGTTCAGAGTGTATATCAGTATGTAGTGTCTCTACTTTAAAGAGTCCTCTCCTGCTGATGTCCAGGTGTATATCAGTATGTAGTGTCTCTACTTTAAAGAGTCCCTCTCCTGCTGATGTCCAGGTGTATATCAGTATGTAGTGTCTCTACTTTAAAGAGTCCTCTCCTGCTGATGTTCAGGGTGTATATCAGTATGTAGTGTCTCTACTTTAAAGAGTCCTCTCCTGCTGATGTTCAGGTGTATATCAGTATGTAGTGTCTCTACTTTAAAGAGTCCTCTCCTGCTGATGTTCAGGTTTATATCAGTATGTAGTGTCTCTACTTTAAATAGTCCTCTCCTGCTGATGTTCAGGTGTATATCAGTATGTAGTGTCTCTACTTTAAAGAGTCCTCTCCTGCTGATGTTCAGGTGTATATCAGTATGTAGTGTCTCTACTTTAAAGAGTCCTCTCCTGCTGATGTTCAGGTGTATATCAGTATGTAGTGTCTCTACTTTAAAGAGTTCTCTCCTGCTGATGTTCATGTGTATATCAGTATGTAGTGTCTCTACTTTAAAGAGTTCTCTCCTGCTGATGTTCAGGTGTATATCAGTATGTAGTGTCTCTACGTTAAAGAGTCCTCTCCTGCTGATGTTCAGTTGTATATCAGTATGTAGTGTCTCTACTTTAAAGAGTCCTCTCCTGCTGATGTTCAGGTGTATATCAGTATGTAGTGTCTCTACTTTAAAGAGTCCTCTCCTGCTGATGTTCAGGTGTATATCAGTATGTAGTGTCTCTACTTTAAAGAGTCCTCTCCTGCTGATGTTCAGGTTTATATCAGTATGTAGTGTCTCTACTTTAAAGAGTCCTCTCCTGCTGATGTTCAGGTGTATATCAGTATGTAGTGTCTCTACTTTAAAGAGTCCTCTCCTGCTGATGTTCAGGTGTATATCAGTATGTAGTGTCTCTACTTTAAATAGTCCTCTCCTGCTGATGTTCAGGTGTATATCAGTATGTAGTGTCTCTACTTTAAAGAGTCCTCTCCTACTGATGTTCAGGTGTATATCAGTATGTAGTGTCTCTACTTTAAATAGTCCTCTCCTGCTGATGTTCAGGTGTATATCAGTATGTAGTGTCTCTACTTTAAAGAGTCCTCTCCTGCTGATTGTTCAGGTGTATATCAGTATGTAGTGTCTCTACTTTAAAGAGTCCTCTCCTGCTGATGTTCAGGTGTATATCAGTATGTAGTATCTCTACTTTAAATAGTCCTCTCCTGCTGATGTTCAGGTGTATATCAGTATGTAGTGTCTCTACTTTAAAGAGTCCTCTCCTACTGATGTTCAGGTGTATATCAGTATGTAGTGTATCTACTTTAAAGAGTTCTCTCCTGCTGATGTTCAGGTGTATATCAGTATGTATGTCTCTACTTTAAAGAGTCCTCTCCTGCTGATGTTCAGGTGTATATCAGTATGTAGCATCTCTACTTTAAAGAGTCCTCTCCTGCTGATGTTCAGGTGTATATCAGTATGTAGTGTCTCTACTTTAAAGAGTCCTCTCCTGCTGATGTTCAGGTGTATATCAGTATGTAGTGTCTCTACTTTAAAGAGTTCTCTCCTGCTGATGTCCAGGTGTATATCAGTATGTAGTGTCTCTACTTTAAAGAGTTCTCTCCTGCTGATGTTCAGGTGTATATCAGTATGTAGTGTCTCTACTTTAAAGAGTCCTCTCCTGCTGATGTTCAGGTGTATATCAGTATGTAGCATCTCTACTTTAAAGAGTCCTCTCCTGCTGATGTTCAGGTGTATATCAGTATGTAGTATCTCTACTTTAAAGAGTCCTCTCCTGCTGATGTTCAGGTTTATATCAGTATGTAGTGTCTCTACTTTAAAGAGTCCTCTCCTGCTGATGTTCAGGTGTATATCAGTATGTAGAGTCTCTACTTTAAAGAGTCCTCTCCTGCTGATGTTCAGGTGTATATCAGTATGTAGTGTCTCTACTTTAAAGAGTCCTCTCCTGCTGATGTTGAGGTTTATATCAGTATGTAGTGTCTCTACTTTAAAGAGTCCTCTCCTGCTGATGTTCAGGTGTATATCAGTATGTAGTGTCTCTACTTTAAAGAGTCCTCTCCTGTTGATGTTCAGGTGTATATCAGTATGTAGTGTCTCTACTTTAAAGAGTCCTCTCCTGCTGATGTTCAGGTGTATATCAGTATGTAGTGTCTCTACTTTAAAGAGTCCTCTCCTGCTGATGTTCAGGTGTATATCAGTATGTAGTGTCTCTACTTTAAAGAGTCCTCTCCTGCTGATGTTCAGGTGTATATCAGTATGTAGTGTCTCTACTTTAAAGAGTCCTCTCCTGCTGATGTTCAGGTGTATATCAGTATGTAGTGTCTCTACTTTAAAGAGTCCTCTCCTGCTGAGAAAAGTGTGTGTTGTGGTTCTCAGCTGACGATGATGAAGAAGAAGGAGCAGCTGCTGCAGGAGTTTGATGAAGGGCCTCTGGACTTTCAGCCCACCTACAAGTTTGACCTAAACTCCGACAATTATGACAGCAGGTAACTGTTCCAAATAACGTCGTCATTAGTCCTAATTAATCATAATCACACTTTTTAAGTCAGTGTTTTTATTTCCAGTAGCGGCCTCTACACCGGTTTTCTTACTTCTTATGTAGACATAAATCATTTAATTGAATGTTATTTACTTAGTGCACATTTTTAACTTAACCTCTAATTTTATTTAAATATTTGTATTATTTTGTATCTTTTTATTGAATATTTTTACTATAATGTCTTATGTCTATACATGTCGAGCGGTGCAGGAACGAGTCCTAAAACCAGGAAGTGAGTCAGCATGTCTCCACTTCCTGTTCCCTGGTCTCAGAGCCAATGGGATCTCTCCATAGGGTTTAGGAAAGTAGCTGAACTAAGGTCTGTGGTTGAGACACATTGAAGACACGGATCACATTTTGTTCTACGACATTAAATCATCAGCAGTGACCCCACTGGTGATTTCTGAAGAGTGGACGTGTCTGAGAAACGATGGTTGTTACCAAGTGGCTGAATAGGACTACAGAAGTCGTGGAGGTCGTTGTACGTCATTACGCCGAACACGTAAACACTCCTCTAAGTTAGTTTCTGTTCTGCTTGAAAGCAAGTCCCTGCCTCCTGCAGACTGTTCAAACCAACGCTTCAACTCGTTCCATTTAGAATCTGTGTGTTTGAATATGGATCTGAAGTTGGCGTGACGTTGAAGTCGTGCTGCTGGACTCGGCTGTAGTTCTTTTATAGCATAACGTTAGCATTTAGCTTCTGGACATTAGATTTATGATTCAAACATTATAAAAGTAGACATGTGGAGATTATCCGGCTGAACAAAACGTGATCCGTCTCTTCAATGTGTTTCAACCACAGACCTTATTTCCAGCTACTTTCCAAAACCCTATGGAGAGATCGCATTGCCTTTTTGTCGAGGGAACCGGCAGCTTCCTTCCGGGTTTTAGGACGGGATGGTTTTCCTTTCTTCCTGTTGCACATTTTTAATTACATTTCCTATTTATTCATCTATTTTAATTTCTTATTGCAATTTATTTCTTAATTTTATATACATATTTCTATTATTTCTTTAACTATATTTCTTATATTTTTTCCCTCTATTTTATCTTCCTGTTGCACATTTTTTATTTAATTTCTTATTTTTATACATATATTTAATTTTTATTTTATTAAATTGTATCTTTTTGCACAATTGTTTCATCCTCTTATTAAACACATGTTTTCCTATTTTATTGTATTTTCTATTTTATTTTCTTATTGCACATTTTTACCCTAATTCCTTGTTTTTATAAATATAATTTAATTCCTTTTTATTTTATTTACTTATTGAAAATGTGTACTTTCATTTCTTTTACCTCCTGTATTTTTTAATAATAATATTCTGATTGTGATTTAAACTCCACAGGCTCTACAGGAACTGGTTTGGCTTTAAGTAAGAGCTTGTTGTCCCTTTACCTACATCATATCACCCTGTTTTTAATTCCCCTAACTGCACATACTTTTAACATCATGCTATTCCCCTTTTAACGTAGAGTAACTTCTAGTTAAAGGCTTCAGTAACGCACGGCACAATAAGCAAACAAAGCAGGTGCAACTAACAGTCTTTCTGAGACACATTTGGGAACGTCTACGCACGGAAAGACTGAACGCATGTTTTCCAGGAAGTAGTCTGACCCCACAGACATGTTGTTTTGTGGATACAGGCATAGCTGTGAAAGGTAACCTGTGGAGTTTCTGACCACTGGAGGATATAAAGAACCAGGTTTTGTGTTTCTTACCATTGTGTGGAGCTATGTTTCCATATTAAGATACCATTATTTTTATTCCGAGTTTCTTACCGATATATAGAGCCAGGTTTTCATGTGAAGATACCATTATTTTTCTTCATTCTTGCGCAAAATGAGGACTTCGCAGAGGAGATTCACATTCCCTTTCATAGCTTCATTATTTGATTTTAATCTACTGATACAGATGGTAGAGATGCACCAAGACACATGAATACAGGCTCTTATAGCTTGCAGACATGGATGTAAACAATGCTGATTTTATTAAGAATTGAAATTGTTTTGAGCTTTTTTTTGCGTATTAATAAATTGATAGCACTCCAGCTCATAGCAGGGTGTTGTCTGCACCGGAGTAACAGCGAGATTTCCCCGTAAAATGTTAACGTGATGCCAGAAAACAATATTTCTGTTCCTCAAAAACGGTATAATTCCTCCAGAAATATGACCGGTCAAACAGAGCGTCAGACGGCAGAGACAGCTTTGTTTTTACGGAGCTCTGACGTCACGTTGTTGTTTACGTTGTTGTTGCAGCGCCATCTTGTATACGGGCGTCATGTTCTCGCCAGAATTGATATATCTTATAAACAAGCTCAGCGCCACAGTATCACCTCACATCTTTCTAGAAAAACCCCCTGGATAGGAATAATATATAATTTGGATTTTGAAGACAACCGTTATCATAGAAGATGCATTTTTACAAGGAACCATGAATGTACATATAACTCCACAGGGTGCTTTTAGATGTTAGTAGTCGGTATTAACCTGCATTTAACCTCTGAGCATGTTTTTTATATGTACAGTTAAAGCTTTGAGCTGCGGCTGCATAACAGCTAACATGCATGGCTAGAATATACATATAATTATAACACAAGAGATATGTCACTGTGGATAATTCAATATGTTTGTGTTGGATTTGATTGAATTACCCAAACATGGTACCACCGTTCCTGCAGGTTGCTGCCTTCTTAATGCAATTCTGTTTAAAGCTGATGGTTCGGGAGGAGCAATGGCAAACTGTCTAATTCATGTCTCACTTCCTGATGATGACCTGTCTTAATCAGTGATAGTAAATCTGTAAATTCCCAGAGAACAATATGCTTAAGAAACCCCTTGTTTAACGGTTTGGCTTGAGCAGACACTAGATTTCAAAATGCAAAATCACAATCACCACTGGCAACACTTTAACAACAGTGGTGCCACCTGGGTCAAATTCTGAGGTCCATCTGAATCAAAAGTCACAGATGCCAAACTAATATCATTAGTATTACACTAATTGTGTGGCTCTGTGAAAGTGGAGCCACAGGTCTCGCTTTTTAGAAAATATCCCACGTTTCTTCAGGCGGTTTTCCTGTAGTATTTTAGATCCTGTAGTATTTTTTACTTTTTATTTTAATAATCAAGAATATTTTTCATTTTATTTTTAATTGTTAATTCAGTTTTTTAAAGTATTTTAAGATTTGTATTTTTATGTCGGAACACACTTCTGCTTCTGTGACGGAATAATTTTCAGAATTGGGATCAATACAGTTTCTATCTATTGCCCCTTTCACACCAACGCGGTTCCAGGGCCGGTTTGGAGCTGGAGTTTGAAAAGCACCGGTTTTTCCTGTTCACACTGCAGCGGAGCCGCCTCTAAGCACCGGAATCCGGTTCGTTTCAAGCACCAAAAAGTTGTCGGTCTAGAAAGCAAGCGCTGCATACGTCACGCTTACGTCGGAACTGGGCTGTGTCCAAATAACACCAGACATCCACCTTTCCGCCAGCTTCAACATGATCTGTGGAAATAACATTGGGAATCAGTTTTAATGTTATACCATAGTAATTAATGCTGCAAAGCTGGGTATTTTGAGCTTGGCGCATGCAGAGGCTAACACATACTTGCCAACCTTGAGACCTCAGAAATCGGGAGCATTTCCAAAGCCACCGCGGGGGGTGGTAGTGGTTCGCCAAAGCTGTATTAGATCAACATTAACATGCATTGTAGTTGTAAGTGCACTGCCTTGCGGCCTGTAGCACCAGCATATGTGGGCTGGACCTGTATTTTACAGGAAAGGAGTGAGCAGAGGGTCGAGTTGTCGATTCTTGTTCTGTTTTCTGTGACTATCTCCCTCACCCTCTCTGACTTTCAGTTGCGCGCTACTAAAGAGACGCGCTACCATGGAAACCAAACAATGGTGTAGCTGTATTAAAGTCCGAGTAGAAACAGTCCTGAGTAAATCTGATTTTGTCAGAAATCGGGAGAAATGCGGGAGAAATATGACCCCGGGAGGAAACCGGGAGAGGGCAATGAAATCGGGAGTCTCCCGCGAAAATCGGGAGGGTTGGCAAGTATGGGCTAACAACAGCTAGCTCTAACACCATCGAATAGGACGTAAATTTACCTTCTTTCTCCTACGAAATTGTCGTTGAAGTTGATGATGTCATTGAAAGAACTTTTGAATGTAGCATGTAACGACTGTGAAGTTGGTTGTAAAGTCGTCCCATTTCTTCCATTTCGTTTCGACAGAGCAAAATGAGTAGCGCTTCAATACAATCAGCAAACGGTTACGTCATGACGCAAACGATGACGCAATGACGCAAACGATGACGCAATGACGCAGCACCAGTCGGGCTCTGAGCGGTGTGAACAGAGCGGGAGCTGAACCGAAGAACCGGTTCTGAACCAGAAAAGCTCTAGCACGGAGCTAGAACGGGAAAAGCCTTGGTGTGAAAGCGATATATCTATCTGGTTGAATAAGCAAGGATTAAAAAATAGGTGCCTGTCAGCGCGTGGGAAGATTTGGGAATGACTCAATGTGCCGAATAATGGGAGGAACTACGGTCAAATATCATCTGTGTTTATTATCGAGCTTCAAAACAATCGATAGGAAGGCTTTACAAACAATGGAGTCATTAAGGGAAGTAGATTTACTAAATAAAACACCAAACGGCACAAAAACCAACTCTAAAGACAAAGAAATAACAAAAAATGTCCGCTTCATGTCCACAAATTCTCAAATAACATAATCAAATAATAATAAAAGAAACAATTTGTAAATATTGTTTTCCTCAGCCTGATTTGAATACACTTCAGACTGAGGAGAGTTAAAAATGTGTCAGACTTCTACAGACTTTTCCATTCAAAGTCAGGCAAATACCGGATAATGTAAACGCTGGTTCCTGGTAAGTTATAAACAATTTAGACCTAGGGTGTTTCTCAATGTCGAGGACGCTTCCTTGGTAGGACATGTCCCTCCGAGTCAGGTCCTTCAGAGGCTAGGCAAGAATCCTTCCTTTCATTCGGAACGCAGAATGGGACAGGCTAGCAAGTGTGCAGGTGTGCGTCATACACAATTTCCCGCAACGAAGGATTCAGTCCTCGGTAGAATTCCAAGGATCCTGGACATTGGAACGGTCCTTCGGCGGAACTCGATGACGTAGCATCCTTGAAATAGTGGCTCTGGAGCATCCTTCCTCGACATTGAGAAACACCCCTTATCTCCTCACTAAACCTCCCCTCTTTTCTTCTTCTTCTCTTATCACATTTTCCAGCGGTAAGAAGCGTAAACCGGCCTGGACCGACAGGATTCTGTGGAGGCTGCGACCCGCTGAGGAGGAAGAGGGAAACTCTGCTCTGGAGGAGGAAGAGGAGGAAGAGGAGGAGAAGGAGGAAGAGGAGGAGTTCCCGCTGAAGATCAGGCAGGATTTGTACACCTGCAACATGGAGTTCAGCATCAGCGACCACAAACCAGTCACCGGGGTCTTCACTATGGAGGTGAGACACACACACACACACACACACACACACACACACACACGCACACACACACACACACACACACACACACACACACACACACACACACACACACACACACACACACACACACAAACACACTTATCCTCTCCTGGTATTGGTTTTGGATGTATGCACTTTAAAAGCTAATGAGCTAGTGTGTGTGTGTGTGTGTGTGTGTGTGTGTGTGTGTGTGTGTGTGTGTGTGTGTGTGTGTGTGTGGTGTGTGTGTGTGTGTGTGTGTGTGTGTGTGTGTGTGTGTGTGTGTGTGTGTGTGTGTGTGTGTGTGTGTGTGTGTGTGTGTGTGTGTGTGTGTGTGTGTGTGTGTGTGTGTGTGTGTGTGTGTGTGTGTGTGTGTGTGTGTGTGTGTGTGTGTGTGTGTGTGTGTGTGTGTGTGTGTGTGTGTGTGTGTGTGTGTGTGTGTGTGTGTGTGTGTGTGTGTGTGTGTGTGCAGCTGAAGAAGAGGTTCACTGATCCTCTGGTGCGTGTGAAGGCAGAAGGAGAGTGGAGTTCAGACCTCGACGCGGTGGTTCTGTACCGAGCGATGCAGCCGTTCCCCTCCAGCTCCTGGGACTGGATCGGACTCTTTAAGGTCAACCAGGGTCATTCAGAATAACAAGGGTTTTAGATGGGATGAATGTGAACGATATTGGGCACCCTTTGTAATAGATAATGCAAACACAAATGAAATATAAATATGATGCGTTCACATTCCCACTGTGACCATCTTGACGTGTGTTTGAATGCAGGTGGGGTTCAGCAGCGTGACGGACTACATCACCTACACCTGGGTCAAAGACGACGAGATGAACTCCAGCGAGGAAGCCACTCAGGTAGAGAGTCCTGCAACACCTTTAATTAAAAAGACCTATGTTTCAAATGATCTACATGACACAGCGTCTTATTTAGACGGTAGAGAACCTAGATGCACGAGGATGGACGAGGAACGGCTAATTGGTGAATTTGAAATAAAAACAATAGAAATTCAAAGCTTTGGATAGCATAAGCTGCAGTGTAGAAATGGCTATGAAAGTCTTGTGACAACATCTATAATAAAATACAAAAATAAAAATAAAACATTGTGCAAGAAGGCTATATACACGTAAATTGAAATTGATATATACAAGAACAGAATGTACAATGTAATATTGTACAGTAAGATGGAATTGATTACGGTTTATTACGGTGATAACTATTTTGATAAATAAGTAAATTGCAAGATGACAAACAGTCAAATCATACATTTATATTAATTTAATTTATAAAGGGCTAAGGACTCAAACAACCTTTACAATAAATATTTCATAGACAATAATACACAATTAAATGAATTGTATACAAACTATAGAACAGACATTTTAATTAAAATGAGGACCCTAACCCTGAAATAAGGAGTTATCCATATGACACATCCTTATTTCACAAAACACAAAGTGTTCTACTTGTGTGTAGTGTCAACATTCAGATATTCTGCAAATTATTTTGCTACTACTTATAGTTGAAGTTACTTCATTGTATTTTATTTGTGTTTTAATTTTTTTTATTTAGATTCTTTTTATTACTTTATAATATTTTTTGTAATAGTTCTAGAAAAAGTTCTATATTTTTTTCAAATTATTTCCTCTTACTGTGTTTTTCTAAGTGAATTCCTTCTATGTGTAAACGTACTTGACAACAACGATATATTTATTCAAATTTAGGACATTAATCGACAACTCTAAGCACCAACTATTCTATTTTTCTATTTTCTATAGACTAAAACCTACCGTTGATAACGCTAATAAAAGCACGTGTGTGTGTGTGTGTGTTTCTGCAGGTGTATGTGAGTAAAGAGGAGATCCCTGTGCGGGGGGGCGATTGTGTGTTGTGTTACTACAGCGGTGCTCTGCAGTGCGTCATCGGAGTCAGTGAACCATTCAAGGTGAGACACACACACACACACACACACACACACACACACACACACACACACACACACACACACACACACACACACACACACACACACACACACACACAATAATCTATAAGTATGTATTTAAAACTGTTTTAAAAAAACTGTTAGGAAATTTAAAAAATGTGAATAAATGTTGACAAGAAATATAAATATAAATATTTGACTTCATGACTAATTAAAGTAAATTACTGCAGTACATAAGAATTTAAAATAAAAAGTGTTAAAACGTGAAAAAAACCTTTTAAAATCCTTTCCAAATGTAGCTTATTACCAATGATATACAAGTCACTTTAGCGTTCTTATGCAGTCAGCGAAGACTTTTTTAAAATATGGTCGTGTCATAATACTCAATGCCGGTTCTACTTAATTTGCATAACAATAAACCAGTCTGAGCTCTTAAACCTGGCCCAGTTTGGCCCAGTCGGACTTCCTTCCTCTCAAAACAATACACTACAATACAAAAGGGCTTTATTGGCATGACCACATTTTAAACATAGTATTGCCAAAGCATTCCGCACAAGGCGTTATGACAGAACAAAATAAACACTAAACATAAATGTAACTAGGGTTACATATTGTAACCCTAGTTCTATAAGCACAGGCGGAGCCCTCTACTGGACTCTAAGGGTACTACTCTCATCAATGATACGCGAGCGTTCACACACTGAAGTTGTATAAACGTAGCCGGCCAATCAGGGCGAGCCTACCTGAATGCGCGCGCAGGCTCACAATATATAAGGCAGCTACACCTCCTGACTGTAAACGCCCTGTCGCCCCACCCATCGACCCACCACACTGCCCCTGACCGGCCTTTGGTTAACAGCCATCGCACCCCAACTTCCGATTGTGACCGTGGAGAAGTTGTGGCCGCAGCTTACTTGGCTGGGCAGAGCCTAATTGGTCTGAATAAGCCCATAGCTCCACCCTGCAGGTGCCAGCGCAAGTGACTACACACTGTGCACCACGTTTCCCAGGTCCCTAAGGAGCATGGGACAACGTAAGTGCATTATGTCCAAGGGGGTCAGATACAGCTTACTGACCCACAGCCCTCCTCCTTTCACCAGTCCTGTGTTGCCCCAGCAAGCACTGACGATGGAAAAGGAGCCAGACATGTCTAAGAGATACTTACCTTATGAACAGGCCTGGCGTAGACCAAGACGCCACCGTGCATAGGTGGACGACTAAAGCCGTCTAGCTGTATGACCCTCGACCTGGAAGAACTCCTTAGGTTCTTGGGAACAGAGGAGGGGTTCAGTCTGAGTGTCGCCCTGCTACGGTCACCGGAAGGCATGAGCAAGCCCCTTGTCCACCAGTAGCTATAGCTAGGATAGAATAGAGCCCAATGTACCGGACAGAGGCTCTAGACTACTTTCCTCGCACCAACGTTCAGTCCGCAAACTGCCTGAAGCAGGGACGTCTGTCTGTCCTCTGACAGAGTGGCATGTAGCCTGCCCTCCTTCTCGATGGGGCGTACACCTCTCTCTCGATGGAGGCGTACACCCAGTGGCGGCCGGCCGCTAGGGGCGCCACCCCCCTCTTCCCACATTTGATTGTCATTAAAAAAATATATATATTTAAAAAAAAAAATTATTTTTATTTTTAATGAACAAGGTAAATATTATATAGTTGGTATCAGTAAAATATATAATCTAAAATAAAATCTCGTTTAAAATTGTGTTACGATGTCTAAAGTTACTGATAAGTCACATGTTTCCTGCCTGGCCGCAGCGTGTATCATTACCCTCTCGTCTGGGCGCTAAGAAAGGAGCCCTCACTCAGCCCCAGCAGCAGCCAACACATTGCTGACTGTTGCTATCTGTAAACTACGCCGCCGAAACATAATTTCAGCCAATCAGCGTCGTCAGATCTGATACTCAAAGGGCGGCAATTTCAGCGCCCGATGCAGTCTGTGAGTTGGTTATGGCTAGAAAGGATCCGTCTTGTGTAAAACTCTCGCGAGAGTTTGCGAGTCACGTGGCTGAATGTTCACGTTTGGCAGGCAGCTTTTCAGTTACGGTCGTTAACATCAGTGGGCCACAGCGAATGATGGTGAGAAGCTAACTATCTATTAATTATGTTAATTACAGGGAGTGTGATTGTAACTGTGTGTGTGACTAGCTGGATGCAAACAGGTAAACGCTGTCTTTTGTTTCCCATGCTTGCTCTTCAAACAGCCGGGGACAGATACTATGTGTCCGTGATAAATAAACACACACACACACACACACACACACACACACACACACACACACACACACACACGCGCACATATTATTGTATATAGTTGAGTTTTGACAGCATCCATCAAACTAGATTTTTTGCCTTAATGGTCTGTTTTCTAATATTTCTGTGTTTCTGAACCACGTCTGTGTCTGCATATAATGTTCGTATTTAGTCTCCTGATTTTACATGGGAATTAAATCATTTGAGTGTTCCCAAAGAACCGGTGTTCTGCAGTTTGTGTGGGCTTACTGTACTGTTGCACAGTTAACTGTAGAAACTATGTCCAGGACAAGGTATTTGGAAGTTTTGGAAGATTCATAGCTAACCACACTGAAGATTATGGAGGTATTGATCAGTCTTCTCATATCTCTAACATCACCAGAAGTCATAATTGAAGGGGTCACTTCTCAAAATTGTCCCCATGTGGTTTATTCACCATTACAAGAGCCCCACCTAAAATAATTTCCACCAGCCGCCACTGCGTACACCTCGCTCTAGACGGGGGCGTACACCTCGCTCTCGATGGGGGCGTACACCTCGCTCTCGATGGGGGCGTACACCTCGCTCTCGATGGGGGCGTACCCCTCGCTCTCGATGGGGGCTGCATTGAGTAAAATCCCCAGATACCCCACCTGCTGGTGAGGTATGGGACTGCTCTTCTTCCAATTGACCGCAAACCCCCAACTTGTTTAGGTGTCAAATCAATTGGGCTGTGTGGAACATCTGCCCATTCCCTGGACCTGGCCATGACTATGAGGTCGTTGAGATAAAATAAAACCCTCATGCCATGGTCACGAAGCGGCTGGAGCGCTGTGGCTACACATTTGCTGAACGTGCGTGGGAACAGGGAGTAGCCGAATGGCAGTCTGTTGTACTCGTAGGCTATCCCCTGGAAGGCAAAACGCAAATACTTCCTGTGTGTTGGCTTTCTAGCAATTTCGACATAAAAGTAAGCGTCCCTCAAGTCGATGGTTTGTGAACCAATCGCCCGGCTGTACCAGTTCCAGTAACTGTAGGAATTCCAACCACTTCGTCCTGTAACAGGCTGTGGTGGATCCCGCCCTTGCTGCCTGGATAGTCTGTATAACTTTGTCAGACAGTCCACCCCTTCTCAGCCTGTCCCTCTCAGGAGCCAAGCCTGGAGAGGTCTGCCCAGAGTGGGTAACGCCCCTATTGCACCTGCAGCGGAAAGGCGTAGAGCAGCTATCTTGGCCATGGCTCGTGTGCAAACGTGTCCACCCCCAAGGGTGGATTGTCCTGACGAGCCAGGGAGAACCACCATTCGTTTGGCAGGGGCCTGCCTCTTGACATGAGGCCCGGCCCCCCTGTTCTCCAGAGAACGCCTTCAGAGATAAACACATTATTTGAGGCCCACAACCACAGGTTCTCCTATTGATGTAAGCCACTGTGGTGCGGTTGTCGCTCCTCACCAGCACATGTTTTCCCTGTAGTAAGGGTTTGAAGTGCTGCAGAACCAGTACTACTGCCTGTAGCTCGAGAAGGTTGATGTGCCCGGGTCTCTGTCAGAGGCCAGCCACCACTTATAGCTGTTTCTAGGTAGATCCCTCCCCTTCAGCAAATGCTTTGGGGACCCCCAGTATCGGGGGTTGCCCTCCACTGAAGTAGTCCACATCATGGTCACCAGACGTCGTTTGTGCCTCTTGGGATTTCTAAACGAACCAACATGAAAAGGGCAGAGCCTCCGCGTAGGTCCTTGAACGTTCCGCGCACGGCCAACTCTCGCGGGGGCACGCACGCTTCGCTGTGTTCACATTAACGGCAAAGTTAATGCTGAACACAGTAAGGAGCTGAGGAGTAATCAGCGAGACGCCCAACACACCCTACACATATTCTATAAAAAATATTCCAGCGTTTTCCCTGTCATGCGGCAGCAGGGGCAGAGATTCTCCGCCCAGCCTGCTGCCTGTGCCATGCTCTCGTCGAGGGGATTTGAGGTCTCCGTGCGGCCCCGCACCCTCAGAATACCTACCATTTCTGCCACCGGAGCTCTCGTTTTCAGTGGCTGTTGCCACGACGCCTCCACACACTGCCAGATATCTGGCAATGGGGGCGAGACGAAAGCCGGTTGCGCCGGGCGGGCCGGACTGGACCGTAAAACCCCTGGCGGAGGCGGCTGGCGGAGGCGGCAGTGGTGGGGGGACGAAGTAACCTTCTTCCTCCTCAGCAAAAGGAGCCATAACCCGCACGGCTGGGATGGCGAACGTTGGTGGCGTCGCCTCTGCCATATTCTGGTCTCCCACGTCCACCACCTCAAGCTCGTCTTCGGCGTGGTCTGGTCCCAGGCACTAGAAACAGAGCTGGTGGGGATTGGCGCCCGCTATTAAGCCGGGCACGGGTTTCCTGCAGGGGCGATTCCATTTGCTTGCCTGGAGGTAAGATACTTATTACTTGTTTTTTTCGAGTGCTTTTCTGCTCAGGTGTTATCTCGCTCGCTGAAGAGAAAAGGATGGCAGTCAGGAGGTGTAGCTGCCTTTATATACTGTGAGCCTGCGCGCGCATTCAGGTGGCTCGCCCTGATTGGCCGGCTACGTTTATACAACTTCAGTGTGTGAACGCTCGCGTATCATTGATGAGAGTAGTACCCATAGAGTCCAGTAGAGGGCGGAGCCTGTGTGAGATAGAGCAGCACAACACAAAACATACTGTAAAATAAAATCTATATATATAATACATATATCTGTCTTTTAGGTCCTTGCTTCGAAGGTTGCCATCGAGGAAGGTTTTTCTCCGGAGAGAATCAACGATCTGGATCAAATCGTAGCGGGTGAAGATTTCCATCAGTGATTGTCAGTGTGGTTCGATCCAGATCCAGATCCAGAGAAACACAGCAGGATGTTTAACCTCACTGTGATTCCCTTTAGGCAGAATTATGGCCTGTTTATGCTGTTACATTTGCTCTGACCTCTGACCTCTGACACTGTGACTCAGGGTCAGTTCACTCCTTTTAAAATGAGACTTTCTCTACAGTCCTTCAACAAGTGGCTTAATCCCTGAGGAAACAGAAAGTGCTTTGATTTTGATTTAATGTTTGAGGTAATGAGGAATGGGAGGAAACAGAAAGTGAGGTATGTTGTTGGATTTGTTTAGATTATGTATGTTTTAACACATGTAAATGCTGTGTAAACGCTGTGTGTTTATTATGAATATGTAATTAGATTGGAAAGGTGAAAGCACTCGACTGCTGCTGTAATGAGAGGAAAAAGGGAGCTGCAAAGTTAGCAAAACACATTGATTTTTTTGTCATTTTGCAGCAAAATCAGCGATTAAATGTCAATTGTTTTACTTAGAAAATATTAATTTGTATCCTCGAAGCCATTCCTGGGGAAAAAACAACACATTTAAATTATACCAGACTTTACACTGGATACACCTTTATTAAAAGTACATATTTAGCTGTATTTTCCACATCTTAGAAATGCTGTTTTCTCACAAACCCGATGAATAAAAGTTAAAATATTTAAAGATATCTACATAATCAAACATTTACACATGTATACAAAGTCATACATTAAGAGGCATCAATACAAAATGAAAATATAACGGCACAAGAGTCAATATATACAAAAAGAACAGTCACTTATAAACAGATGACGATGAATATATTCACAGTCTTTGTTCAGGAGATAATCAGAGCTTTGAACTGACATTTAAGAGGAAATGTGAAAAAGGAGAAGCTCCAACTAAAGATGAACATTAGGTTTCAAAGTCTGTGGGAACATTTATATTTCAGAACTTTAGTTTTAGCAGAAATACAACTTTTATTACTTCCAGCGCTGTAGACTGCGTGTTAGCATAGCATTGATAGTGGAGAAAATACATTTTAAAGAACAATGATACCAGTTTTTCTACATCGTTGCTGCACTGTTCACATTTCAAAAGTAGTTTGGATTAACTCAGAAGTATTAAATATTGGATAAAGATTATAATGAAACCCTTTAAAATCGTAATCATAATACAAATACACCTTTTGTCTCTTACCTGTAGTGCCATTCAAACATTTTTAAAGTCACATTTTTAATATATTGGTTGTAGAAACGTCCAATAATTAGCACTACAGCTAAGAGGGAAGATGTAAACCTTAATTTGTATTCATTTGAATGTATAGAGGGGGAACTGAGGAGGTGAGATTGGCTAAAAAACTCTTAATTTAGAAATATTCAGATAATTATTCAAACAGGACTGATTTTAATCTGTGCTCTGTAAGTTATTATTTTAAAGGTTTGACATTATGATTTTTTTAATGTACACAATCCTAGGTGTTTCAGTAATACGCTGCTGTAGGAAAATAAGAGAATATTTAGCAGTTTTTTATTTTATTGTCACATTTATTAATTAAGCTTCAGTTGTTCCTGGAGGACTTAACGTATATATATATTTAGCTTATTATTCCCAGTTTGCTTACCCACCAGCACCTTGTTAAAATGTTAAAGTGATGCCAGAAAACAATATTTCTGTTCCTCAAAAACTGTATAATTACTCCAGAAATATGACCAGTCAAAAAGAGTTGGTCGGCCCTTTTGGAGAGCAATGTACGGCAACCCAAGAAGGACATTTCACACAGCAGCGTTTCACAAAGAAGAGAAAAAACACTCAAACAACCAGACGACATTAATAATAACAAACTTTATTTATATAGCATCTTTCATGCTTGAAGTGCCCCAAATTATAAGCCAAATTAAAAAGATTGGTCTTTAATTTACTTTAAATGTTTTGAATCTGAACGAGAGATGAGTTATTGTTATTACAACGTGATTTCCAGATTATTTGAGAACTCCTTTTAGTGGGTTAATTACATTCTTACAATAAGTGATAAATGGATTTAACTTCAGCAAACTGGAGAAATGAGAAACTGTAAATGTAGGCAATCATTTATGGAATTAATAATTAATATCTTAAAACGTTTTAGTCTGGCCTAAACATTCTCTGTTGAGATTCCTGGAAAAAAAAGTTGATTCAAGAACAAAACTCTGTTATTAAATCAGTGTTTTTCAAATATAGGATAAGTATTGCTAAATCTGAAAGAGCTTCCCTAGCTTTTGAATTTCTATGATGTCCTATTTGGGTCGTCTTTCGTAAAATCAGGTAGTCATACCCCCCATATTGGACAGTTACGTACGGCAACCCACATAGGACATTTGACGTCCAGACGGCTGCCTGGATTGTACTGCGCAAGAATGTGTTGATCTGCCATAAATGTATAAACGATAAGAAATAACAGAGCAATTCCAAAGCTGGGAAATTTTTTAGACTTAATGATTGTCATATTAAAATACAGATTTAATAACAGTTTCGTTCTTGAATCAACTTTTTTATGGAAAATATTTTATGTAATTTCCCTTTTTTCCAGGAAGCTCAACAGAGAACGTTTTGGCCGGACTAAAATTGTTCTAATTTTACATAAAATGAAAGACAGTCATTCACATTTAAGAATTATGTATACATTATTAATGCCATAAATGATTGAATTTACTCAACCCACTAAAAGGACTTATAATAATCGGGAAAATACATTGCAATAGAAATAACTAGGTTGTCGGGATTTGGGAGTTTTTTTCTCTTCTTGGCGAAACGTTTCTGTGTTAAATGTCCTACTTGGGTTGCCGTACGTAGCTCTCCAAAATGCCGGATATCGGGAAGTCACAGCACCATCTTGTATACGGGCGTCTTGAATTCATATATCTTATAAACAAGATCAGCGCCACAGTATTCATACTATATTTCCATTCCTTTTTTAACACACATAGAGAATTGTTGCACTGTTTATTGTTCATGATTATTTATAGCTTATTATTATAAGTGTGTACGGAGGAATGTGTGTCAGAAAACGATGGATTCAGCAAGTGCCTCGATCTGTATTTATCGTTAATATTCCTCACGTTATTTATCAGAACAACGCCTCCTATTCTCAGATTATAAATTTCTAAACCTTCACCCTCACACAGAAATCCTCTGTTGAATCTAATTGTTATTGATTAGCTGGAATCAGAAATATTAGCCAGTTTATATTATTGTTTTTGTTTGACTTTGTATTAAAACGTGACCTTTTAAAATATTGTAAAGTACTGTAAGAGAATAGCAAAGCGTTCCAAATGCACATTAAATACGTCTTTTAACTTCAATCTTTGTGTGGTTTGTTACTAATCTGCTCATTCTGTATTAATAACGTGAAAAATATGACAACGACAATAAAACCTTCGAATCTTGAATGAAAATATGTGTGAAAAAAAAATAATTTATCAATTTTTTTTTTTTTTCATTGGAAGCACATTCCACCTGTGTAGAGACAGCTGGCGTCTGATTGGAGGACTGCAGAAGTATGTGTGTGTGTAGATTGGAAAGTGTGTGTGTAGCCTAGCATTACTATACTTGTGGGGACCTAAATATGTTTACATAGTCACGTGTGAGGACTCACCTCCCTTATGGGGACAAAATGGAGGTCCCCATGAGGGGAATCATTGATTTTAGTGTGAAGACTTGGTTAGGTTTAGGGTAAGGGTTTTGGGGAACGGGCTCTGGGTCAATATTTTGTGTTTAAAAACCTGTTTAAAAACTCCTGTAGTAAAACCAAAAGTTTATAAAAGCCCGGTTTGGTCTGGGTTAAAAATGTTTTTTAAAAATTGAATAAAAGGGATAAAAGAGAGCAGCGGCTTCAGCACAGAGCGTAGGCGGCGGGGTTAAAACCTGTACTCCTGCCCCCCCGAAGGGGTTCCGAGGCTGCGTTCCACAGCATCTGGTAAAATACCTGGTAAGTGGGTTAAAAAACATCTGGCTAAACGGACCGAGGTTGACTTTGTTTAAAATTGGCATGCAAGTAAAATTAGTGCTGGTAATAAATATCACATCAACCCAAATGTTAAAATATGTATAATAGAAAACAAATATGTAAAATATAAAATACACACGGGTTAGTAGGCACACAGGGGGGGGGGGGGGGGGGGGGAATATCTTAAAATAAAGTCAACCAAGTGTCCCTAAAAGTGTTTAAAACCCAGGCCGAGGTCTAGAGAGGTGGGGCAGGTGGGACATGGGACACGCCTCGGATGATGTTTAAAAATACTTTATTAAGGGGTTATTTCAGGGTGTTTCCCTGCGGGAGGCTCCAACATCCATTTGAAAATGGAAAGTAATAACTAAAATATAAATAAAACAATATAAACAATGTTTAAATATTATTAATATTACTTAATAATATATTAATTTAATAATATATATAAAAAATAATGAAATATATAATCTCCTCATTTGGAACCTAATGACATAAGAAAACATGCATTACATCTGGCTTGTCGGGAGTTTAGCCGCTTCGCTGACTGGATGTAGGCGAGGTTCTTGTGGTCTGTCCAGATCAGGAATGGCTGCTTGCTGCCCTCGAGCCAGTGTCTCCACTCCTCTAACGCCAGCTTTACTGGCAGAAGCTCCCGGTTACCAAAACCATAGTGGCACTCAGCAGGAGAGAGACGGCGTGAAAAGAAAGCACAAGGATGAAGGATGTTATTGGAACCAGCAGTTTGCGACAAGACAACTCCCACCCCAGTGTCTGACGCATCTACGTCCACAATAAACTGCTTATCAGGGTCTGGCTGGATGAGGATGGGAGCAGAGGTGAACAGGGACTTGAGTCTGAGAAAAGCCTCATTAGCTTCTGGGGTCCAGAAGAACTTAATTTTTACAGAGAGTGAGAGGTGCAGCAACCTTACTGAAGTTCCTGATGAAGCGGTGGTAAAAGTTGGCAAAGCCCAGACATCTCTGAAGCTGCCTCCTCGTAGTTAGGGTTGGCCACTCCACCACAGCCTCGACCTTTCCAGGATCTTCCTCCACCCTGAGTTGCCTTCTGGTGGAACTCACACTTCTCAGTCTTGACATAGAGCTTGATCTCCAGCAGTCTCTGAAGAACCTGGTGGACATGGTTCTCGTGTTCCTCCTGGTTCTTGGAGAAAATCTGAATGTCGTCTAAGTACACAAAGACAAAGCGGTTAAGGAAATCACGCAGGACATCATTGACCAGAGCCTGAAAAACTGCTGGAGCGTTAGTGAGACCAAAGGGCATGACAAGGTACTCAAAGTGACCTAAAGGGGTGTTGAAGGCCGTCTTCCATTCATCACCTTGGCGGATACGGATCAGGTGATAAGCGTTACTAAGGTCAAGCTTGGTGAACAGGGTTGCCTCTTGGAGAGGTTCAAAAGCAGAGGTAACAGGTACTTTTTTTAACAGTGATGTTGTTTAACCCATGAAAGTCAATGCAAGGTCGCAGTGACTTATCCTTCTTGTTAACGAAGAAGAACCTGGCACCCATGGGGGAATAATCCCAGCAGCCACTGAGTCAGTGATATATAGCTCCATAGCCTCTTTCTCAGGACGGGACAGGTTGTAGAGGTGGCTGGTGGGTAAAGGGGCCCCAGGAAACAGATCTATGGGTTAGTCGTAGGGCCGGTGGGGAGGAAGGGAGTGAGCCCTCTCCTTGCTGAAGACCAATCTCAGGTCGTGGGAGGTCGCAGGAACTCCAGTTAAATCTACAGAAGCAGCAGAGCAGATGGCAGGGTTGGGGGTGACCAAGACACAGGGTCGGCGTCATGGGGGGTCATTCGCGGGCCATGCCCCCCCAAATGAGTCACTGTGCCCCCCCAACGCAGGGTGGGCCAGCCTTGCCACTTTGCCGTTTTTTCTTTTTTTAATCATATAAGTTAAAACGTTTCCACTAAAGGTGAAAGTGTGAAATACATCAGAAATAAATAATACAAATATAAAACACAGCCTGAGGTGTGCTCACTGCTGCTCTCTGATTGGTGTGTTGCTTGACCAATGAACCCCGACCTTTTTTTTGTTATCATTACGTGGCTGTGTGTTTAGATGAAAGCCCAGTGGCGATCTGTTCATCTGTCACACTGATTATACAGTAAAGCCATCGAAAATAATATGATATACAGTACAGTACAAGTACATGGGTCTCTGTGTTTCATTCAAGCTCCGCTCTGTGTGTGTGTGGCACGAGCGCATTTTGTGAGTGCGCGAGCGGTAACGTGGAATGTTGTTAGCATTTGGTTAGCTAGCTATGCTAACGGATATAAAGAGCTGTTTCTACACCAAGGTGGAGGAGAGTCCTCTCCTGTCAAACTGAGAGGATCGTATAACGTCAGCTCAGTGAGGTAAGGACTCTCTCAGTGTTTAGATAGTTCACTTTAGTGTAAGTTATCTCAGTGGGTCTCAAACGGTTTGGTCACCATTTATGTAAGTATTTTCGAGGAATACCTTTATATGATCATTATAGTTATTAAAGAGAGAATAAATGAAAAACGGGTATGAAATACTATTGGACAGTAACACAAGAATACAGTTTAAAAGGGGAGTGATTAGTAAAATATCCATAAAGAAAAAGTACATCTGTGTACAGTTCTGTTTCATATGGATGCTGAGAGATGTAGGCTATCCATAGATCTCTTCACTTTGCTCTCAAAGTGCACCAGATTGATGCTTTTAACTTCAATATTTTAAAAATAATCTTCCCGGGGGAGCATGCCCCCAGACCCTCCTAGAGGAGGTTAGGTCCACCCCCACCTAAAACATGTTCACATGGATAGGATACTAAATACATTTGCACACTTTTTATATGATGGCCTATGTCCATATCAAATCAAATCAAGTTTTATTTATATAGCACATTTTTCAACGATTTTTGGTTGAGCCAAAGTGCTGTATATACAGTATAATACAAAATAACCTACATTAAAGACACTTTACAGCAAATACAACAGCACAGTTTGTGCAGAATATCAGTATGAGAAAACAACACCCTCTGTCCTTATATGTTTCTGTTTTGGTGGTCGTGCCACAACCGTGCATGAATGCACAAGTCATAGGTGCGCTATACAATAGCACTACACCCCTGCAATGTGTGTGAAAGACAATAGACTTTACAGCATGTTTTTTTAAATTGAAGTTGCGTTGGTGTTTGTGTGTTGGTTGTTGACGGCAGTGTGTGCCCCCCCCGTTTGATTTGTTCTAGAGCCGACCCTGCCGAGACAGAAGGCACGATAGATAACAGACAGTTAGCGAGACAGTACTGATCCCATTCAATGATTCTCCCTTTAGCCCAATCAATGTGTGGGTTGTGGGTGCGAAGCCACGGAAAACCTAATACCAGAGGTGTGGATGGTGCGGAGATTAACTTCAACTGGATGAGCTCTCTATGGTTGCTGGAGGTGATCAGTGTCACAGGGCTTGTCTGTTCTGTAACTGAGGAGATTATTTGCTCATTAAGTGCATAGGCTGTTAAAGGTTCATCCAATAGCTCCAGGCAGAGTCCCAGCTGTTCAGCTAGTTCACGGTCCAAGAAACTATCCTCAGCACCCAAATCAACGATGGCTTGGAGGGGCAAAGTCATGGTGTTAACACAGATCTTGGCGGGTATTAGAAAACGGCGCAGGGAAGGGGGTTGAGAAGTTGGCTGTGGACTCGTCAGGACCCCCAATCTCACTGACGAGCTCTCACGTTTGGGCAGACTGGGCAGTTGGCAATGAAATGCCCGGCGTTGCCACAATGCATGCATTGGCCAGCACTCATCCGGCGCTGACGCTCCTCCGGTGAAAGTCTATCACGTCCCAGTTGCATAGCCTCCTCATGAGAAGTGGTGCGCATGCTGGGTGGCGAGAGGACGGAAGGAGACTTAAACATAGAGGGGACAGAGTAAGTGGAAAAACTGGGCTTACTTAGTGAGACTGGTGGAGTACGCTGTGTCCGCTCTGCTCAGCGTTCCCGCAAACGACAGTCTAGACAGGACACCAGGGAAATCAGATCTGGGAGATCTGCTGGAACGTCTCGAGCTGCCAATTCATCCTGGAGCTGATCCTTTAAACCTCTCAAAAACACCGCCTTGAGAGCCGCCTCGTCCCATCGAGCCTCTGCAGCGAGTGTGTGAAACTCGATGGAATGCTCGGTCACAGTCCGGTTTCCCTGTTGTAAACTGGGCAGCTGATTAGCGGCGGAGCCAGAATAATTGGGATGATCAAAAACAGCAGAAAACTGATCTGAGAAACACTCAAAACACAGAGAGACATAATCCACTGATGAGCTCAAAGCCTCTGCCCAGGTTAAAGCCTTGCCACGGAGCAAACTCAGAACATAATTAATCCTGGTGACATCAGCTGCAAATGAAACAGGATGCTGGCGAAAAACCTTGTTGCACTGAAAAAGAAATCCTCTGCATTTATCCACTTC